ATCCATTTTGCTACGAGCGATTTTTTTCTCCGGAAGTGAGTCGAAAAATTAAGATTTCGTTCTTATTTGCCCCGGTTCTTCTGATTTCGCCCGGATCAATCGATTCAGCTTTTTTTTTACATTTTTTCCATATTTTTCTGGATTTTTCATGAATTTCTAAATTGGCCAATCTTTCATTTTAGTGCATAACCTCATAAGAGCCAATCCTGGATCTTCAAATTTTGTTTATTTAAATTCTCAATAATTAATACCGGTTGAAAGGTCAAGATTGTCATCTAAATTTTTTAAATATTTCTCACTATTACAGGAAAAAAAATTGAATTTCTGTTGATTTATTGAACACTTTCACTTGGCACCCTTAAGCGCTACTGATGAACCACAGTTATCATAGAAGGTTGCTGTCCGTTATTATCATTCTTTTATGAATGCATCATCCAAAAACATGAAAACTATTTACAAAATTTTCTCTTAATATTAAAAACTATCGATCGGTAAGAAAAAAAAGCCACTAGTAACTTCCATTTTTCCTGAACTCCACATTTAGAAATGTGGAGTTTTCATCTGTCTGATTTTAAAAACATTTATCAACAAATTGAAATTATTAGCTTAGAACGTGATTAATCTGGAAAACACAAAAAACAAAAAATTTAGAACTCATTGAGACCTTAAAGAACACATTTTATCAACAATCGAAAAATTTACCATTTTCTCATAATTTGCGAAAAATGGCTTTTCACAAGCTTCTTTAGTGTTTTTCATATATGCGCCCTATTCAAAATATTAAAAGCCATCAGGAAAATTTCATCTAAGTGTTGATATCTATCAATTAAAAAATTAACTACTAGTACGTTAACGATAGGTTTCTCATTTTCTAAAGCCTTTTCAGGTGTTGTTTGCAGCTGTATAAAGCTTCCAGTCGCGGCAAAAATTCTACACCAATTTCTTACCATAATTTTCCACATAATATTCATCTGAAAGTTCCACACAATTTTCAAACCGTATATTCCATGAAATTTTCAACTGAAACATTCATTCCACAGTAAACATTCCCTAGCTAAAGGCCCTTGGACGATGACCGCGTTAGAAAATTAAATCCTGCAAGAAACTACCGTTAAGATTTTTGATTAACGAATCAGATTCTTTCAAAATCAAAATTTCTTGACCGATCACCATGATCACTACAAAAATTGAGAGATGTTATATACATAGAGTTTTGGAAATCTCTACAAAACTGTTCTGTGTCTTGAAAGAAAAATGGTTCAAATTAATGATTTTTTGCTCAATGCTAAGAGAGATGAAAACCAAACAGAGAAGAGCTAAAAAAATGAAATGCATAACCGCATATACAGCGAAAACCGTGGTTACGTACATCATTCGGGCGCCGCGGGGTCTGGTGCGTACCAGACCAAGAGGCACGTCTCTGGTTACAAGACCATTTGGGGCGCCAAGCCACATGAAAAGAGAGGGAGGCGAGAAGAGAATTAAAAAAGGAAAAAAAGAATGGGACGACAAGGATTCTCAACTGAACAAGAGCCTACCAGGCGGCAGAAGACCGAATGTGCGAAGAGAGAAGGGGCAGGAGAAAAAGTGAAGACCAGTAAAACGGAGAATAACAGGGGAAGTACCTACGGGTAGCTACCCGGTGACGATCGACAGAGAGCCCCATACGGGCTACATTCCAGCAGGCGGGGAGTTTTCAAACATCGCTACTCACATGAATGTAGGTCCTCGGCCGATGCTTCTGCTATATCCAATACAGTATGTGTATGTATGCTGTGGATGCCACTCTTATTTCCTGTAAACTGTTGACCGATTCTTATAAGTGTGTATCTACCTACTCCGATCCCCGCTGCGTCCTCAGTCATGTATTGCTGCTAGTGCCCCAGGGTCTAACTACCTCGTTCTCTGTCTCTCTCAGTTTTTGTATCTTTTTCTCACCTCTTCGGTTCAGTCTAAAGCCTTCGCCCTTCTCTACAGACGACTCTCGACCTCTTCCCCTTCTTCATCTCTCGCCTCTTACGATCCGCCACACTTGCAGTCTCCTTCCCCGTGCCGTCCTCCCCTTGAGTGTTCCCACAACTTGGGCCATCGAGCCGACCAAACTGGCGACACCCTGTCTGGTGAAACCGGCCGTCAGACAAAGGAGGGGAACTCGTAGCTCCACATGTATTTTGCTGCGTTGCCACATTACCGTTTTCCAATGCTATCTCTATCTCTTTCTTACTTCTGCGCTAGAATAGGTGGCTATCCACTAAGTTGTATTAGTGAGCGCCACTAACTCCGGTCCAAGGACAAATTCAAGCATGCCAGCCATCGTGGCGACGAATACTTGCGGCGCAACCGACCTACGTGACTCTACAATATACCAACCAGTCGCACATGTGTGCTACTGCGTATAGTCTCGGGACACAAGAATCATTTTATGTCATTATCATAGTTATTAGGAACATTTTTTCTTCCTTTCACTTTACGGTGGAACTTTTCTTAAAGGTTCTATCATTTTCTGAATGAATATGTTCAAGGAACTTATTTATAGCACTGTAGTAATACGCGCATGTACATACTTTACGCGTTGACTAGAACGCGTGTATAATAATGTTCAACACGAGACTCTCTATCGGGTCAGACTTGTGGAATGCCATTCTCCCGAGTCACTTCTGGGAAGAGACGGAGGGGGACGAGGTTATATACATGGGGGCACATACGTATGGAATGAAAGACTTGGATGGTGTGATCGAAAGCGCCACCCTTTCCACCACAGTTGATATATAATGCCAGATAATACCACGGGATTCCACTACGATGAGTCTTCGTAAACGTCAGTTGTGCGGTAATATAGTTAAGGGACCAAAATTTAAGATGGCAGGTGCCTAGGCCCTTGTGTACCCATAATTCAAGGGGGCCCCCCCTTGAATTAGATCGTTTAATCTTTAAACTTCATTGTATCATCTGAAAGTTTTTGATGATTTTATTAAAACTCCAGGAGTAATATCTAATTGAAGACCATTTTCCGAAGGTTCATCCCTCCAATACTTCGAATTTCGAGGCATCCTCGTATTCAGTCTCCCATGCACTTACTTTTCAGCATGAACAAATATTTAGCCATCTGTGAGACCTGATAAATATTTCATTACTACTTCCCGATATGCGTTCGGGTGGTGGTGCCACTGCGTCATTTTATTTGTTCTCGCTGTGGTTGCGCTTACGAAAAAAAACAATTTTCTAACTCTAATATTCACTTACGTGAATACAGCTGGCAACGTTGCGTATAGTTCTACATTAACTATCGGCTTTAGTCACAAAAATCACCTAATCTTATGCACGTGTGCGAAATAAACTGAGGACCTATTACATTTTATGACCCGTTGTTAATGGAAAATTTTCCATGCGTAACAGGTCAAAATTGTGAAAAATACAGGCCAATAACAAGTTGGTGATTATGAACACAGAAATATATGAATAGTATATTTCAGGGCGAGTGCCATGGGGTCCGTGGAGTTGGCGTCCGAGCTGAAGGCGAGAACTGGTCAACTACGCTAGTAAAAAAATCCCATGGCAGTAGCCGTAAAGGATGTTTATTCGTAGTGATTTTCACTTTTACGAGTTTGGGGAAGGGTCAATACCAATCCCCGAACGAGGAAATGTGAAGGTCAATACAGAAAAATATCGTCACCCTTTGATTCACCCAGAGAATCTGACCCTTTACATGATCAGGTAAACGCTTCTATTCATATAATTCATAGAATCCAATTATCGAGGTTCATAATCGCAATAAACTACAATGTGACTGGTGTTATTGCGACGTCTACACGTAAAATTCGACACATTTATTTCTCCCTCCCTCCTCCAGTCCTTTGTCTGGGATGAGTTAAGACCGTGTCGAGCCGTAAATCCAATTCACAGAAAAAAATCAAACTGGATCGATCAGACGGAAAATCAGCACAAATGGAGAACAAATGAGAATGATCAAGAGGAAATCTATGGAATAAAAGAGCAACAGGAGAACCTCTACGAAGTGAAGATAAAAATTGTGGTTCAGTGCTGGTCGGGAGTCCCAGCGAACGACGGCAACAGCCAGAATAGATGATTGTGGCAGACAATATGGCACCATGCATCGTCACGCCAGCGTGACGTTTCCCGCGTGCGTCATTAATAGAAGTAAGGCTATAAGATGGCGGCTTTTTCATTCTACAAGGCATACACGGGAGCTCTGTGTAAAGGAGAGGAACTTTATGTCATGCATGCTCGTATACTGAACAAAGTCAATAACCATGAAATTTGAAAGACACGAGAGAGGAGAGAGAGAGATGCAAAAGTTAGATGAGTAGCGCAAACAATGCAGAATGACTGGTACTGATAATTGGTGTATCTAGGCGGGGATGTTGGTAATCTCCGCGCTTGTACCGCCCGCCATATGCATCGAAGAGGGGAAGTTCTCAACAACACTTACTCATACTAATGTCCGTAACATCGTTTCGGCGAGTGTTGAAACGTCAGGGGGAGTATTTGGGGGGGGGGGAAGTAGGCTCTGGCGGATAGAGCAGTGGTGGGAGTTTCGAGACGAGTGGGAAAAGAGGAGAGGCAACATCACTGCTTATGCCGGAGGGGAGCGAAACTCAGAGACCACCGCTTCAGTGAGAAGCAGTGTGCAACACTCCTCGGTATAGTGGTGGGAATGAGTGGGGATGAAAATTAGTTACGGCATCTACTCAGACCTAAAAGGAACTGTGCCGTGTGGCCAGGCTACTCCGTGCAATGTTACGCGTTAAGGTATCCTCGTGCGTCGTACTCGTTGCCGTTGTCGTTGGCAATATTCAAAGAACTTTTTCATACGTCACCTGACTGCAAATTCACAGTGCGTTACCACATATGTATTGCAAATTTTGGTTTTATTTCGTCGGCTGGTTCTGTGAGAGAAAAAAAAAAGTTATAGTATAATAGACATTTTAAAATTGGTGAATTTTTTTCATTTCACCATCATATTTTCTGTTCGTCAAGTCATGGCACACGGTGTTGGCGAGGTAGTGAGTGAGAGTAATAGTTCAGTAAAGAAAGTGAACAACACTTCGATGCGAAATCACAATAATGCACCGAAGAAGATCGTTGGCGTTATGGGTAGTCGACGTATATTCGCTGCAGCGTTCAAACTCAAAGTTTTAGACTCCTATCGTAGTGACATTGAATGTCGTGGTAATCAACGTGCAACAGCACGGAAATATGGAATACACAGGAGACAAATACAAAAGTGGTTGCAATGTGAAAAAAATTTAAGGAGCAATTGTACTAACAATGCAAATGGAAATGGAGTGATTGTTAGTAAAAGTTTCGAATCTATTTCAACTGTTGATAGAAATGGCATAAATATAATTAATACATCAGTATCAAAAATTGATGAGCCAATAGTGGTGACAACATCGTCCGGTAAGACTGCAGCAGCCCCAGTGGCGGCGGCATCAGCAGCGGCCTTGAACCTTAGTCTCGCCAGACTGCACGGCGATGAGTTGACTGCTCGGCAAGGGCTTCCAGCTCATTCTTCATCGCATCACGGCTCGACCACATCAGTGCAATACACACAGCACACTCTAGCAAACACTTTGCCCATGCATACTTTATTGATGGGTTACACCGAATACTCTGGTGAGGATCTACACCTACATCATGAACACCATCTGCCTCACCATCGCTTAGAAGACAATCGTATCCACGACTATAAAATTAACTCTCCTGATTCCCCAACAGAACGTAAATACGATGTCGTAAATCATTCAACATATGAGCAATCAATATCCGATTATCTTGGCAGAAGTAATGCTCCAGTGTATCTTCAACCGAACCGGGCATCCTATCTGACCAGTCTTGGTCCCTGCACATACTATTGCACTGTCAACAAGCATCAGCGAATTCTCGAGAGCAACATCTATCAGTCTTGCAGTCATATATCACCACCACTAGCTCCTCTATCCATCTCTCCACCACAGTCTCACTCTCATCTGAATGATGTGGACTCGCCCGGAGACGAGTGTCTTGCACCAGCAATAAAGATGGAACGTGCTAGCCCAGACTCCCTGGCGACCCCAGTGTCATGCGACGAGGCACCAAACTCTCCCGGTGCCACTACTACCACAACGCCTATGTGTACAATCAACAATCACACATACACTCCAACCAGTGGAATTGCCACGCACACCTTTGCGGCCGAAGACATTCATTTCCAGACCCCAAGACGCATCAGCCCAGGGACACATGTACACCTATGCGTTGACGCACAGACGTCCATGGATTTTAAGGAAAAGGAGTATCATAGTAAGTTAATGTATATTGAAAGAGAAGACGGCGAGACGATAATGATGAAAGATGAAGAATCAGATATGTACGTGCCATCCGAAGAAAATGTGGAAGGGCAAAAGGAAAACTGTGTAACCAGTAACAATAGAAACGAATCTATCTACAATATAGTTTCTGGAGTAAAGTACGATACCTCAGCAGTGCCGTTGTTGCAAAGCAACAGCGAGATAGGTTCAGGTACTTCGAGTCCTGTGAGACATTCGAATTACTCAAATCCATTGAGTTCAAAAGGCACAGCTGGTATTTGTTGCAGATCTATCAGCAGTTGTTCAGATGGTGAAATAGATCCGACGGATTATTCACCAAGCCATCAAAATCATAATGGGGATTCATCTCGACGGCGATCGTTCTCTCTTCGATTTAAACTTGACGTCCTAGATGCTTTTCATGGAGATGCAGTCGTGGCTAGGAATCAACGAGCTACTGCTAGAAAATTTGGTATAAATCGAAGACAAGTTCAAAAATGGTTGGGCCAGGAGATAGAACTAAGGGGTGAGATCGCCCTACGTGGAGGAGACTTGCGACAACGTCTAGGGCCGCTCCAGGAACTCTCTGAATCCGCTATTGATCTTAGAACTAGTTCCCATAGCCGCAGTGATATCGAGATGGTCTCTTCATCATCTCTCTACTGCTGTGCCGCATCCTCACAGAGATTCAACTACTATCCATCCATTTCAGTGGACTGCGAGGGTTCACAGAATACTTGCACAGCTTCCTGTTGTACAAAAAATCTCACATCTTCAGTCACATCATGCTACTCCGAATTAAAACGGACCTGCTATCCAGAGTCACAAAGAAGTTATTACTGCTACTCTCCTAACCATGCAATCGACACCAGTATTTCAAAAGGCTTGCAAATGAATTCATCGCCATCAAAACAAACTGTTTGCACTTTCAGTATCTGCTACGATGCTCCATCCTCTCAAAGTTCCTGTGCCGCATCAACGGATATAGAGTGGGACAAAGACGTCTGTCAAGATCAACCGCTGCAGGAGGCGCCACTCTGTCTAGTAAAGGAAAAATACTTGAACACACCATCTCCCCTACAGACTGAACGTGTTACGAGCACTGTACGTACACCCCCAGCACCTGCTGTTTTTGCACCATCATCTAAGAAAGATGCAATTCTATTTAAACCATATCTCGATAATCCTGTTAAAAAATCAACTGATGACAGACCTAACTATCAACGCTATAATCTATCCACTCTCAACAGCCATCAGAATGTAACTGTGAACAACAATAACTGCGGCGGCATTTGCAATTTCAACGACGAGCCGGGTCACGATTATGCTGTTGAGCTCAGCCTGCGTGTACCTGTTTCTTGGCATGCGCCGTCACATATCACCGAGTTCCCCGAACCTATTCCTAGCGCTTTTGCAAGGTATTCTGCAATTCCACATTTCATTTAAATTTGGTAGATTGTTTTACCTGCACAATTTCAACGTCAATGAGTTTTGATGAATGAGCATATATCCTTTCAATCAATACAGAAGTCTAGAGTCATGTTACTGGAAAAAAGATACAATAAAATATTTTACCACCAACAAAATAACGACAGATTGCCATTGTCCTGCACAGCAGTATTGTTTTTTGGTTTAAAAAATCCGTTATTTGTTTCTCGAATTTTTCTATACAATGATAGAGGAAAAATTCAGAGGTGGCATACGAATTCAGTCTGCATTGGTACAAGCAGTAGTCACGAAGTCAGTTTATTTTGGTCTATGCTTCATCAAAGAGCAAAATTTGTTACTATTTTTCTATTTCAATTTTAATTATTGCCGAAAGAAAAGTAACATCAATTGTGACACGAACTTTTTGTTTTCGTTCAAACGTTGAATATACAACATTAGCACGCATAGTCGTATCGTATAATTACATGCTAAAAGTTGTTACAATGTATAAGTGTACCATTGATAAATTTTTAACTACACCAGAGGAAAACAAAAACCGCAGACGATGACGCGATTCTTGCAGAGAACTTACTGGAGTTTCCATCCAGTTTTTGTTATTGTGGTTTTCATTCATGTTTATCCAAGTAATATGAAAATTGCTTGATTCTAAAGATCGTTAAAAACTGCAAGAAATTTTCAAAGCTCAATGAGATTTTGACTCACCATTCTTCTTTCAATTTCGTAATCGTTTCAATTTTCGATCTCGTAAAAGTTGTTTTAAATCCGATTGAGGCACAACAAACTGTCAATCGAAATCATTATACGCAAAGAATATGACATTTTTTATTGTAGGAACTCTGTAACTTTTAATATGAGTAATTGAATGCATTTAACATAGTAATTTTAAGGACAAATGAAAAGCTACGATGTGCTGGTTGAAAAAATGCGGAGAACAAAATTAAAATATGTCGGAGTCCATTGGAAAAATTACTGTTAAAAATAGTAAAAGTTGAGTGTCGGTATAGTAGAAAGTGTTAGTGCAAAAGTGGATATTAATTTCATACGAGTAAAATTTAGGATATTCATGATTTTTTACTTTGTCGAATAAAAAACTATGCGCCCTCCCTCTTTTACAATGAATATTCATGTGGACTAGAGGGAGGAAGATCCTTGAAATCACTGAAGTCAAAAATCTTTTTTAACTTTTGTTATCATCCTTGAAAATTGTTCTTGAAAATTCTGCCCCTCATTCTGGTACATCAGGGGAGGGGAGGAGGGACTGAATCTTTGAGAATTTAAGAAACCTTCACCCGGTCTATTGCGTCGGCGACTGAGGGAGGGGTTTCCAATATAGTCCAGTCAAATTAGATTTTGTATATCGAAATTAACCAAAGGGCACCATATTACACCAATCGATAGCTAAAAGTGTAATTATTAATGTTTTAAAAAGTATATGCTCAAATTTGCCGGGGTGATTCACAATTTGTTATAAACAATTGGGAATTGGCGACAGGCCGTCTTCAGTCCTAGATATCTTTAGTGAACCTCGCCAGATGGGAAAAAAAAATGTCTTTGTAGCTGCGAAAATTTCCTATCGGGGGGAGTTAGGAACTTATAGCCCAAAATGTACCGTTAATTTATTATAAATTATGATAGCAATTTCGGAGCAGTCGGCGCAACGCGTCAGCTGTTCCCCTCCCTGCGCCAGTACCATGAGTCACGTGATTGGCGTCATGCGCAACTTATTAAAACCTCCTGCTGCACTCAACGCAATAGCCCTCAGCTGGGTTTTTGATGAATATCTCCGAATCTGTGGGTGGTAGCCAAATTTTCATTATAAACTTTTTTGTAGATCTTTATTTGCTCTATAAAAATGGTCTTCACAAAAATTTTGCTATTCTCCAAAGTTTCCGAGATATTCAATGAAAAATTAACAATATTCAAAATATTCAATAAAGTTGAATTTTGTCATCCTTGAATTTATTTAGACCTCTGAAATTCCGAGACTATATTGCAACCTTGGATTTTTTTCTGGTTTCGTGAGCCCTTCAATTACAACAAAATATTTTTGTGTGAATAATTATTTTTTATCGGTGAGAATAATTTACTGGATAAATTGGAGACATTTCTAAAAATTGCAAAATAATCGTTCAAATTTCTAGGAATTCGGACAGAATTGAAGAACACAATAGAAAAAAGTAATTCTCACAATTTCCAGAAATTTCTGAACAATTTGAAGATTTCTAAAAGTTGTGGAGAAATCGAAGAAACTTCGAGAAAATTCTCGAAGCTTCTCAAAATTTCCAAGAAATTGAAGAAATTTCTAATTTCAGAAGAAATCTTGCGAGTTTCTAGAAACTTCGAGAAGAGAAATTTTAGAAATAATTCTAGAAATATTGAAAAATTGTTTTCAAGCATCTAGAACTCTAGAAGGAATTCGATAAACCTATAATTTTGAAAGAATTGCTTCTGTTTATAAAAATTCCAAAGAAATTTTGAAAATTTCCATATTTCCATGAATTCCGAGGGAATTGAAGCAAACACTAGAAAATAGAGAATTCTCAAAACTTCTAGAAATTTCGAAACAATTCAAGGATTTCTATACGGAGAGAAATTTCCAAGAGAAATTCTAGTACTAGTACTGGAAAAGAGGGTTAAAGTGACGGCTAGGGAAAAATTCTAGTGCTGGCAATGGACATTTTATTAGTGTTCCTGTGAAAATTTCATCTAAGTACACGAAAAATTCGCAGGAATACCAATAAAATTTCCAGTGCCAGCACTGGAATTTTTCCCTGGCTGCCACTTTGCCCCTCTTTTCCAGTGCTAGCACTACAATTTTTCTTGAAAATTTTCTTAAAAATTTTTCTTGAAAGTTTCGGAAGAATCGAAGAGACTTCTGGAGAATTCCAAAGAATTATGCAGGTTTCTCGAATTTTTGGAGGAATTCAAGAAATTTCTAGAAAATTCTTCGAGTTTCTTGAAATTTTTAAGAAATTCAACTAAATTTAGAATTTCTGACGGAATTTCTCAAGTTTCTAGAATTTTTGAGAGGTTGAAGCAGTTCTGTGAATTTGGAAAGAATTTAAAACTTCAGGGAAATTTGGGAAGAATTTATGCATTTGTGGAATTTGTGGGGGAATTCAAGAAATTTCTAGAACTTCTAGAAATTACGAAAGAATTCAAGCGTTTCTGGAATTATTAAACAAATTCAAGACACTTCCAGAAGTTTCAAGATAATCCTTCAACTGTCTAGCAATTCCGAAAGAATTCCTAAAAATTCGGCATTTCCTTATTCTCCCATGGCTTAAGGAGTTCAAAATACAATGAAAGCAGAAATGCATAGAACATTCGATGAATATATTTTTGAGAAGAACTATTTAGTTTCACAGAATATAAGAAATTCAAAATATATGAAAAGAGAAAATCATAATGTGATAAAATAATAATATTTAAAGTTCTCAACATTTCTTCAACAGCAATGCCACGCTTTGATCTATCAAACAACTATAATAATTTGAATATTCATAAATTTCGCAAATTTATGGCAAATTTCGCGCGCATTCGGATTTTTAATTATAAGAAAACCATATGAAAACTCATCAAAATTAAAATTTTGAAGGTACAAAACAAAAAATAGGAATGTGTTTCCTTGAACTTGTCAATTTGCATCAGAGGAATTATAAAATTAGTAAAATTTCAGATATAAAAAAAGGGATCTTGAACAATAATAAGTGAAATTGTCCGCCGACAATTCAG